ACTCTGTTCTGCTGTAAAGTTGATGTGGGGTTGTGGTGCTCATTTTAATGTCTCATTGAGGGTACACTGGAAAGATGCAAATATTTCCTTCTTCCACATTACCTCACAATGCTCAGGTGCCTTTGAATGTTCCCAGCCTAGCAACTTCCAATATTGGAGATGCAGTGGAGGCAAAATCTCTAAAAGCACTTTTTCTCCCTTTACCTCCATGCTTGTTTTGACACTAAAATTAGACATCCAGTATGACAAATGCTTATTAACATCTATTTTGGGTACTATGGGTACCAAATACGCAGGCTACCACTGTCCCTTAGAGCTAGAGCTAGAATGCAGAAGCCTATAGTAAGCATATAGTAAGCATATAGTAAGTAAGGGTTCTTGTGGACAGAAGAGATTTAGTGGCCGTTGCTTACACTTGACAAATGTTCTTTGACAAATTCATTCACCAGTGACTCCTGAACAAACTTAGCAGTCACGGAATAAGAGGAGAGGTCCGTTATGGATCTGTACTTTGTTAAAGAAGAGAAAGCAGAGAGTGGCAACAAATGGTTAATTCTCAGGTTGTAAATAGTGGAGTCCTATAGGGATATGTGCTGGGACCAAACCTTTTCAATTTAGTCACGAATGATCTAAAATGAGGAGTGAATAGTGAAGTGGCAAGTTTGCTGATGGCATCCTTGGTCTAAGTCAGTGTGGTTCTTCTTCAATTTTTATAAGGTGTAGTTGTCTACAGTCTTTAGGTAGCCTGTAGTGTGTATAGGTACAGAAGGATTCTTTTGCAAGAGGACTGGAACCCTGTTTTACTGAGCACAGCTCCAAAACAGACATTAAGACCCAGTTTGCACATGACTGCTTGTTTAAATCATGGTATATGAGAGATGGAATGTCCATAGTCACCACCAATGCATGGTTTGTTGTGTCATCCAAACCCATGTGGCATGGCTTCTTGGATGGCAAAACAACCCTCTAATAATGCATAGGGTGTTGTAGGGTAAAACTTATTAAATATGCATATTTAAGCCTCAGTGACATGTTCTGATTATCTGAACTGTTTTAAATCTTCTAGTTCTAACTTTTTTTTCTTTCTAGTTCTAGAGTAGACTTCAAGGCTTCCAATTGCAATCTTAGAAACACCATATCTTCCCCCACCACATGCTAGTTCTGAATTAGGTAGCCTCCCTTTACATTTCCGTTTTGGAGTAAAAATGGGGGAAAGGACATCGATGCTAGATACGGGGTTAACTACTGTTTGTTTGGGCCCTCTTCGTCTTGTTCTGTACATGCTGGAAGTATGACTATTGTCATATACAGGATAAGACTAGACTGCTTTCTAGATAGACCTTTCAAGGATACCAGCCAGCTGAATTGGACTTGTAACCCCTAAATCTGCAGCTGTCATACTACAGGCTTTCAGAGCTCAAAGACAGTACCTTAAATTTGACTTCAGGTGAACAAAAAGGCATATCAACTTCCATATTATTGGTGTAATATGGTTTCTGCTTTTCACATGAGTGAGAGAACATATGCATTAGCTGCAGCTTATGGAATGGGATATTCAGAGGCCCAACAACAATACACTGATATAAGATCAGTGTTCCTTCATTGATTTGTATAAACTAGAGATTCCAGATCTCATTTTAATTATTAAATATATAAAAAGATATTAATATTTCAGAAATTGAGCTTCTGTATAGCCTGAAGTGCCTGATCCTGCCTAATCTTGGCTGCTAAGCAGAGTCAGGCCTGGTTAGAATCTGGATGGGAGACTTGAGTCCTGCGCTGACCAAGGGGTTGGACCTGATGGCCTTCTAGACCCCCTCCAACTGTATGATTCTAAGGGGATTTGTTGAACAGCTCCATTTATTGTTCAAAGAATCTTGGTAATTGTTCAGACTATGAAATCTGTCTTAGCTGCCTTCAACCTATTGGTTGAAATTCTTAACAAGTATTTGTGGATGTTTGGAATAATACGAAGCAGGGAGTTAGGAGTGAATCACTTCACTCATCTGGTACCTATGTATATAGTAAAGAACATAGATGATAAAATTGACCCCTGTGGAACTGTGAACAATAGTATGTACCAGGTCTGCCCTCTGGATTTTATCTGAAAGAATGGAATAGAACCAATCAAGAGTAAGTCCCTTGATGTCTGTAGAATTTCCAAAAGGTGCAATTGAAGCTTAGGATCCATAGTATCAAAAGCTATTCAGAAAACATAACTGAGAGCCATGGGCAATGGCTGTGAATGCATATGTCATAATAAATGTATTAGTCATTTAGATGCCAAAAGACCCTTTGTCATTTTTGCTAGAACAGATGTAACACTGTTAATCCCCCTGGAATTTATTCAGGGATGTAGGTAAACTGGAGTTAATTCCCCACAGCGAATTGCTTATTCCTGAGCTTATTCTATGCTAGTCATTATGGTGGCAAAGAAACACACAATACTGTAGTGGAATTGTTTTATGTAGTTTGAGGCTTTCTCCAACTTTGCCAACACAAAATGATGTAAAGGAACTCTCAGTGACCAACTGTGATTGATTAACCACTTCAAGAATAATATTTCTCACGATGCAATGGTTTTATAGTTTACATACCATTTTGGATGTGCTCTTTGCAATGTGCTTTTCCCTCCCTTGTGGCTTGAGGATATGTATAAGATATTTAGGGAGTGCTTGCTGAACTCTTGTTCTTGCTGGTTCATAACATCCAGTAAAAGTGGGATGACCAGCTGAGGCCCAGAATCCCTTCTTGCAAGAGGAGATGGTTCCAAACTTGCTGAAGTAGATAGTTGCTGCTAGACTGTGGGTATTGCAACAGCTATTATCTGCAGAGCGAGGAGATTGGGGAAGTGATTTCAGTGCATTCCTGGATACTATGGGATAAAACAGGTGATCTAGAACCTTTTCAGTCTGGCTTTTAGGCATCTTCATTCAACATCAAAACATCCTTGATGTCTGACCTATGCTGTAATAAGGAGGATTTAGTGTTAATTCTTCTGGACCTTTCAGTGGCTTTTGATACCATCAAGCAAGCTATTGTTCTAGAAAGACTGACCAGATTGGAAATTGGTTTCACAGGTGTGTAATGGTTCAGCTCCTGTCTGTCAGGGGGATTCTAGAAGGTGGTGCTGGCAAGCTCCTACTCAGTCATTGACATTCATGTTACAGTATTCTGCAGGATTTTGTCCCATCTCCCTTGCTATCTCGTACTATGTGAAACTTTTTGAATAAGGCTATCCAGAGGGAATGGTGAACTTTCTTTTGGCAGCTGCCAGCTGATCGATGCCATTTTCCCATAATAATGCTTCATCATTTAGACAAAAGGGCATGGTTCAGTGGCAAAGCACATAAGTTGCATTTGGAGGGAACCAAGCTCAGTCACTGGCATCTCTGAATAGGACTGGAAAAATCTTTTCCTGACATCTTGAAAAGACACTGCTAGTATGTGTTGCCATTGCTCTGACTAGCTTCTTTTATTGAGGCATTCTGATTTGCCTGCTCACCTCCCCATCTCCACCCCATCAGGCTCGAGGTTCTCATGTAGGAATGCCTGGCCTAACATTCTTGAGCTGAGCTGAACTGAGCTGAGCTTCACATGATAGTCATCTTTGTGTTTCCAAGATGAACCTCAGTTGTATGACAAAAGAATTAGAATAAAATGCTTGTGGTATTTTTAGAGCAGAAAATTAGTAGCATCAGAATTAGTTATTTCTGTGCTTTAATGATGCTAAATGCAACATGAGGGTTGAATGGAAAAGGGGAATTGATGCTAGATTTGTATGGCCAGGATCCAAGGGGATCACGCATGTTCCCAAGTGTAGGGTACTTCTGCTGTTGCTTCCTTTGTGGCAGCATCCCCGCACACTTCCTGGAATGCCATTCTACAGAGATCCTTTGATTTCTAGAAGAGTCTTTTGAGGAACTCAGGGGCTGCCAGTGAAAGGAGAAACCCTTTTTTAAAGCACCTGCATGCCCCATACTTCATTTGCAGCCCTTTGGATCCAACTCCAGGCCAGTGAGACGCTTGTCAGCCAAAACACTACTCTTCTCAGCTCAGAATAATAGTGTTTTGATTGGTAAACCTCTCAGATATATGGACAATGTAAACCTGGGAATGTTTCTTATCAACTGTAAATGAAGTCTGGAGTTTTTAATTCACAAGTCTATATAAAAAAATGAATCACTCACATTGCTGCTGTAAGGTAAGAAGACATGGAGCTTCAATGAACAACAAAATCGGAATAGTGGTTAACAGTTAAGGATTATTGGGGTAGATTTAGGAATCATTTTGAAATACCACATTATACATGTAATGGGGGTTCAGCCCATTCATGGGATTTGTTTACATAATCAAGAAATAATATAGATTAAAGTCAAGGAAAGAAAAAGCCATAATTGTTCTGGATCTTTCATCATTTTTGCTTTCATTCCATGATTACTGAGTCTGTACAAGTATTGCCTTCAGTACCTTCAATAAGCAGAGTTTGTTGAGTTTGTTGTTCATAGAAAAACCACAGACACACTGGTGGTAATCAACTGTGCATGTGGAAGTCCCCATATGCAGACCTTCATACTTCAAGGCAGTGTTGGCAGCAGGGGGGCAGGGGAAACCAAACCCTGTTTGAAACTCTGAGCAGCGGTTGCCAGTCAAGGTTGATAAAACTGGGCTGGATAAAACTGGGCTAACTTAATATAATGCAGCTTCTACATTTCTGGGTTGTTTGGAATGGACAACATGTAGGCCATGGACTTCATGGAACCCCTGCAGCACTCATTAAACAACAACCAGAACAAGAACAACATGGCACTCTGCATCTTCTGCAGAGTACTGATAGTTTTGGATTTAGCTTGCTAACGAGTTAGATTTAATCTTTTTAGTACTACCATATAGATTGCTCCGGAATTGCTTTTCAATTTATTTATTCCCCCGTTTTCAGGGGAGTTGGGAACACAAGGTCGAAAATGGCGTTGTCAGATCTCTCACATTTGCTCACCCCTGAGATAAATAAACCTGAGATAATTTAACATAGAACTGGGTTTGATCTGTAATTTTGTATTCATATAGGAACTTTAAAAAGTGATAGTTTGAGCATATATGTGAAGATGTTATAAGGGGTTGGGCTAATGCTTATTATTTGGAGGCAAACCATGATTAGCATGTTAGAGTCCTGTCTGATCCTGCTCACTGGTTCATCTTGAGCAAGCATGAGATGAAAATGGAGGTAGCAATTTTTCAATAGATTTGCACACTGGGAATCACTTCATTAAGTCATTATGTGAACAGCATCTAGCATCAGTGCAGGTTGAAAAAGGGGCTAATAGCCCAGTGTTAATAATGTTCATATCCCTGATCCTGTAAACATGCTAAGCATAACAGCCAAGTTGATAATGTAATGAAACTTTATTGCTTAATGTTCTTGATTTTTTTGATCATTTTAACTAAGTGATAAGAGCATGAATCATAAACCTTGCTCAATCACGTAGCATCGGGTAACAATAATTGTGCCAAGGTGCAGTTCAGAAGTGCATGCTCATTAGTAATGAATCCTGTGAGTTATATGGTAAGGTGACATTTCAGTAGATCTCTCTGCATACAGCTTCTTAAGCTTTTCTGAAAAAGAGCTCGCCATCTGACTCTGGTGGGGATGGAGAGTTGATATAAGTGTCCTTCGTGATGCGGCCGTTGTCAGCAGCTCTACACTGTCAGCCGTCTTCTTGACAGAGGTTTCTGATTGAAAGTCTGCCCTTTTTTCAGCTATAATCTTACGTATGTTTAGACAGGAAAAAGCCCTACACCTCAGCTGAGACCCTTAATCCTCTGCAACAACCATTGGTATGAAATTAAGATGCAGGAGATACTGGCTCATGGAATGGAATCAGAAAAAGAAAATGTTTAGAAAATGTATGTAGCAGAACTAGTTAGAATTTAATTAAGATTAATATATTTTTCATACTTTGCTGCTTATATTTAAAACATTTAATTGTGTGCCCACGGATTATATTCCTACATTAATAGAAGGATATTATTCTTCATAGCATTTTGACTTCTCCCCACCTAAACTTTACATGCATTTAATTAAGTTGGTTTTCTCCTCTCTCTGCCAGGATTGCTTCACTTCCTTCTTTCCAAGCCTGCATAACTGACATTTGGGGTTATGAAGTCAGTCCTAGATGGCCTCGCAGATACAACCTTCAGAACAATTACCACAGATCTTCTTTACATGGGTTCTAACGATATCCAATACGAAGATTTTAAAAGCGACATGGCCTCCAAGTTAGGATATTACCCACAGAAATTTCCTCTGTCTTCTTTCCGAGGTGATTTCAGATCAAAAATGACTGCAGGAGAAGATGCTGGTTTGGGTGTGCACCCATCAGATCAGATCAATATTACTGATTTTTACAACAAGACCTTATTCAAAGATAATGAGGAAAATATACAATGTGGAGATAACTTCATGGATATGGAGTGCTTTATGATTCTGAACCCTAGTCAGCAGTTGGCCATCGCAGTGCTGTCTCTTACCTTGGGCACTTTTACTGTTCTGGAAAACCTTCTGGTCTTGGTTGTCATCTTGCAGTCCCGAAGTCTTCGCTGCAGGCCTTCCTACCATTTCATCAGCAGCTTGGCAGTGGCTGATCTTCTCGGCAGTGTAATCTTTGTCTACAGTTTCGTTGACTTCCATGTTTTCCATAGGAAAGACAGTCCCAATGTGTTCCTTTTCAAATTGGGTGGAGTTACAGCCTCATTCACTGCCTCAGTTGGCAGCCTTTTCCTCACTGCGATAGACAGGTACATCTCTATTCACCGGCCCTTATCGTACAAAAGGATTGTTACCAGATCAAAGGCAGTAGTAGCATTCTGTATGATGTGGACCATCGCCATTGTAATTGCTGTCCTCCCTCTCCTCGGTTGGAACTGCAAAAAACTCAATTCTGTTTGTTCAGATATATTTCCTCTAATTGATGAGAACTATCTGTTGTTCTGGATTGGGGTCACCACTGTACTCTTGCTTTTTATTGTGTATGCCTATATGTACATACTCTGGAAGGCTCATAGCCATGCTGTTAGAATGCTCCAGCGTGGCACTCAGAAAAGCATCATAATTCACACTTCAGAGGATGGTAAGGTGCAGCAGATCACTAGGCCTGAGCAAACCCGCATGGACATCAGGTTAGCCAAAACCTTAGTCCTCATTCTTGTGGTTTTGATCATCTGCTGGGGTCCTCTACTTGCAATTATGGTCTATGATGTCTTTGGGAAGATGAACAAACTTGTCAAGACTATCTTTGCCTTCTGCAGCATGCTGTGTCTGCTGAATTCCACAGTGAATCCCATTATCTACGCTCTTAGGAGCAAGGACCTGAGACATGCTTTCAGGAGCATGTTCCCACCTTGTGAAGGGACCGCACAGCCTCTGGATAACAGCTTGGAATCTGACTGCCAGCACAGACATACCAACAACCCAGGTAATGTCCACAAGGCTGCTGAAAGGTGTATTAAAAACACAGTTAAGATTGCCAAAGTGACCATGTCTGTCTCCTCAGACACAACTGCAGAAGCATTGTAAAAGATCTCTTGGTATCATGAGAAAGCAAGAGAAAGCAAGAGAAACTCATGACTTCGAAAGTGTATGTTTCCTCATATGTACCAATTTTAAGTTTATTTTTTAAGTGACTGGATTTTTGTTTAAAGTCTTCAGCAGTAGCCCCTCCTCCAAGTTCTAATAACAAGGACTCAAGCTATGTATCAAGAGAACAGGTTTTCCAATGGCAAAGTGCAAATTGAATAATAATAACCAAACCCTGTTATCATATACAAAAACATCACATTAACCAGTAAGAATAATCTGCATACTGGGGGAACTAATAAAACTAAGATTCATACAACTGTTACTAAATTGGAAATTCATTTTGTAATTGTAGTTTCATTTCTAGTGTGAAATATGTCAATTTGTCTGTAAGTAGATCTTCACACCCCACCCCACCAGAAGCGGCAGTACTGGATTGTAGGAGCTTTGTATCATGTCTTGTGAGATGTATGATGTTTTACTCTGTTACTGATATTTGTCTAACCAAAGTGATTAGGTAGACTTGTGTGGAAGTATTGTAAGTATGTGATGATGTAACACGCTCCTCTGCCATGAAAATACTTCCTGTATTTTGAAGAATTCCTATGAGGTATTTTGAAAACTTTGCATTCTTAGTGTTTTTAGTGAATTTAAAAGGAAAGGCTTTGTATTTCTTCTGCTCACATTTGAAATCCCAATTAAGTTTGAAACTTGTGTAAATATAGGAATAACTGCAACAAAGGAGCATAGAATAACTTGGCAAAAGCAAGTAATAAACTGATTTGGACTGAAAAAGAAGGTGGCTGCAGTTTTCAAATGGCCATCTATTCTCTTATAGATCATTGGCTTATTGCTGGAAATTGGTTGAATACCAATATGATCCAAACAGGAAGGTATTAGGGCACTGGCTTCTTTATCTGGTAACTGTTTTTCTTTTTGTTGGTCTGTTGCTAGCACTGGATCTCTGAAGACGACCCGTGTCTAGTTAAATGTACAAAGTTAACACTGTGATGTATACTTGAAATGTGTTGCATTCCCAAGTCCCAGGTTTCAATAGATTTGAAAACTGAGATGCCAAACATCAGTCTTCAGTAACAAGGGGATGAAGTATTAGTCATAGACATTTTAAAATATGTGTATATAAAATTAGTAATATTTGTGTATGTGTGTGTATTGTGTGCATATACTGCATAAGTGTAGGTTACATTAATATTATTAAGGTAAAAAATTGTGACCAAATGTTTTCTTTGTGTTCTTGTTGCATTCTTTGCACATGAATTCTGTTTCTGAAAGTGAGTTCTTCCAACCAATCCATAATGAAAGTACAGTTTGTAAAATTCTGAGCACATTTGTAAAGCCAATCTGATAACTAAAAAAGTAGGATTTTAACCTTGGCAGCAACCGAAAGCAAAAGTTCTATGGCATTTAAAGACTTACTGGCTTGTTGTGTGTCTTTTGCCATAATGATTAGTGGATGGAGATCGATGTCACTGTGAACAATGATAGGAAACCTAGAACAGGCTTTCACAAGTGTTAGAATTAAGCCAACAAAGAAGCAAAATGCAAGAGAAGCCTGTCAAGGTGAAATCTCCTTGATCTCGGCCAGAATTAAGAGTATAAGAGACAAAAACAAAAATGTCAAACATTAAAATAGCATTTTAAAAGTCTTAAATCCATGTTATTACAAGGAAGTAGGTCTCTCGTTGCTAAAACAGGGTCAGTGTGATGCAACAACGTATTCAATCGCGGAAGCAGGCTTCTGTGTCGTGATCCCCTCTTCTTGACCAGAACCTGCATGCATGAGAAGGTGCCGCGTGGACCCGTTCCCTTTCCAGACCCCTGCCTTCTGCATCCAGGGCTTCATATGTGGCTCTTGCTGCTGGGCTGGAACTTGGACCTGTGCACAGCACCAGATCGAGCGGGGCTGTGTCTGCGTGGAAGAGCCCTGAGCAGTCAGCACTCTGCGCAGTAGATGTGTGGTGAATGCAGCAGCACACACACAGTTCACCGTCCCACGCGCAGCACAGTGGGCCTGGTTGACAGTAAAAGCATGGAGTCTAAGACCACTGCAGACCAGGAACAGCCAAACTAATTTCATGTCACTGTCTAGGCACCAGGAATGTAAAATAAGAGTAACGCTTTGGATAGAATAGACCTGAGAACCAAGTAGAGACGTGGCACCAATGAGAGCTTGTTGCTTTTTGTGTTTGCCATGTAGAAGGAGGATTTGCAGTGTGGGAGGGAAGGGTTGAGCTCCATTTTCCCATGTGCTGTGATGCTGCTCTGAATGAGACTCCTCCGTGCCTGCTTTTAAAAACTGAGTTGTCATGTGTCCTTAGGACTTTAGGAAGTTAAAGGCAATTTAGAACCCTGTGCGGTGGGTCTTTGAGGAGGAGAGCAGCCTGGTGGCAGGGCACTCGATCCTTGCTCACGGTTGTGAGCTAAGCAGAACTTCGATCTTAGCTTAGCTTTTCGGTTCTGAAATGAGGAAAGTTCTTAGCTTTTCAGTTCTGATATGGGGAACGCCATTCTTCCCAGGCTCTCACATCTGAAAAAAATATTGTTGGGATACCCTCCCATTGGGGGGATGGTCTTTCAAGGAAAACAATGCACAGATAATGGAAGAGGCACATTTCACTTTTGTCACATGTTTCTAGGTAGCATTAGAAATGGCTGTGCCACTTACCTCCACATAGAGTTATTCATGTATGCTGAGTGTAAATTTCTGAGATAACATTTTGCATCCACTGGAAACGGAAGAATGCAAGGGAACAGCAATTTAAACTGGTTGGTTAATTCAGCCATGCCAAGCTAGCTAGTCACCTAGGGAATGAGATGATTCTATCCAGGTGAGCAGTTTGCCAAAACTGCCAATGAAGCTTCCACACTGAAACAGAGGTTCCTCTAGAGAGATAGAATGGTATATCTTCATTGGTAAATATTTTTGTCAAAACACTGTAAAAATACCATTTGATTTTATTTAAAACAGTGTTATTTTATTGTTTGAGCCAAAGAGATATAGCGCTGGTGTATTTCTACCCTGTATGCTCCAATGCATGCATGATATTCCAGTGCAAGAGGTCTGTGCCATGATTTCAGTCAAAAGGTCAGCTATCCATTTCTTACCTGCTTCAAGGATAGAGGCTGCCCCCTCCATGGTAGTGAATGAGCAAGTCTTTGCAGCATGCTTCTCCCAAGCATGCATTCAAACAGTCCCCCATTTATCCCCACATATCTTTGAAATGGGTTTGCTTGATCAGGGCTGTTCCTTTTAGTGGGAGAGGAACACCTTTATTGCCCTTCTTATTTTTTAAAAATGATATCAGTAAGTAGGTGCCTCCAGAGAACTTCTGCTGAGCATGCTAGTATCATCCGAAGCCTAACCCACCATGGCTATAGCACATAGTCAGAGAAGCCCTATTAGGCATAACAGTGCCTTTCTACTCTTCCTAAAGTATGCAGATAAAAGCAACTGCATGCTAGGCTATTACAGAGAAAGGAAGGGCCTTTGTTACCCCTCCCATATTGCTGTCCAGCCTTCCTCTCTAGGGTTGTTCAAGGAATGCGAGTTCCCACAATAGCCTGTTCCTTATGTGCGCACACTGATCCAGGAGAAGGTGGGGAAGGGGCGTGTGAAATAAGTGTTTGTTATTCCCAGTAGGAATCCACCTACATCCAGGTGTTGAGCAGACCGGATGGTGACCTATGAAACTACTCTCCTAATTCATACACAATCTAAAACAGTTTTAGAGGAAAGAAAGCCCCAAAGTACAATGAGAGATTTCAAGAGTCATTTTTCAAACTGTCTTCTTGTGATTTAATGCACACTCGTATGGGTTTCTGTTTCTGTATCCAAGAACTTAACTTTATGTGATTAAAATAAACTATGGGACAATGGGGCTGTCTTGGCACTAAAAATGGTGCTTATTAATATAATAAACAACATTCTGTGAAATACTGCATTGTATTCATCAATATATTTCATTTTCATATGTGAATCATTTTAAAAGGTCTTACAACTTTGTGCATTGTCCTAACACCATTTGTCAAATGAACTAGCTATGAAATCCCTACAAAATGAATGCTAAATATAACTGCTGTTGGATACTTTGCTTAGCTTAGCTGTACACAAGCCATGCTTTAGATCATTTCTCAAGACTATAAAAATGCTTAGGAAGGCATGTTCAGTTCTGCCAAGGGAGGTGCAAGCTCCTCTCTGATTCCCCAATCAGTGTACTGAGTCTAATGCCACCACCTCCAAACCAATTAATATCATTATATTATAGTACCCAACACTTGGACACTTCTGCTGTCGTTTCTAGGGACTCGTGGGACATCCCTTACTGTAAATGTTCTCGGAAATAGGCTCTTCATAGCTGTTGTTTTGGGCCTTAAAGCATGCTATAGCTCATTGTGTTTGTGTGTGAGTGTGTTTGGGCAGGGTGGGGGTAGTTCTTGTGCTTTGTTTAAAAATACCCTATTTCGGACTGCTTCCTTCTAGGCTGAGGACAAAAGTAAACGTTGTCTGATGAATTGTCTGCCCCAACCCAGAATTCCATTGTGTTCCATCATACGCACAGAGCTCCTACACAACAGGATTCTCTGTTCCATTGTAGGGTGTCACTCTATATGCATATCTCCATAGGTATGCATTGAAGTACCTTTGCTCATGAGGAATCATTTGCAGTGGGTTGTGCGTGTGCGTGCGTGCGTGTGTGTGTGTGTGCGCTACTTAGAGTGATGTAATACCTGTGAGCACTGAGGTTCCATTCAGCCATGGCCATAACCTATGATACTTAAATGCAGTGACAGCCAGTGAGGTGGGACAGAGGGCAGTAGGTGGCTGCCATCACTAAGTGACAACCAAGATGGCGTAGCACCTCGCCCACTTGCCAACAGGCATCTGATGCAAGCAGCTGAGGCTGGAGGCAATTCATGGGATAGATACCATGAAGGTACATTGTTTGGGCAGGGCTTGAAGAATCCAGAAAAACCAGTGAAGTCATAGGCCCATAACTGTGCAGGGCATTGCAAGCCACTCATATGCATGATGCTACAGAAGCTTTAGTTGCTTTCAACAGACGCCCAAGGGCATGGGGCCGTTGTCCATCTTGTTCACTGACCGCTTTCTGTACACTTCACTAAATGTCACTGCCTAAATGGATTATCTCTATTTTCAGAGGCAGTGTAACTTGGCCAGTCAAATTGCTTGAGACAAAGAAAAAGGGATGCCCTGTCTGTCCACTTCCCCTTCCCCAGCATTTCTAAGCTTGTCATTGTTGG